ATCAGACTGTACAGTTCGAACGGAACAGTTTATCGTACGTGGCGTACGTATAGAAAACTGCAGTTTTATAACATATACGCTACGATTTATCAGTACCGTTCGGACGGTACAGTCTAATCGTAACGATTTCTCGTAGTGTGTATTTCTACCATTAGACTTTCAAGCGGCGTTCTTTGCAGAAATGGATTTTATTTCTTGCCTTACAATCGCGTTGGCTACCATAACAGAAACAGAAATTATTTTAAAGAACATTTGTTGTTATTTTGATGATCAAACTGATGCGTTCACAATGTCCACATCCCAAGAAGCTGTTATCGAGTTTCTCAATATTGATCAATTTTGTAATATTTTCAGAAGATTCTTTGTAGATGAAATGCAAGCTTTGAATACTGCAACAACGAATGATCCATCTGCTAACAATACTGAAGATTGTCTTGGGAGTGCGCAATTCTTATGTCTTGATAGACAATAAAAGAAAACAGCAATACAATACATTCAAATCCAGCCTTTGGATAACGACATTATAGTCAGACATGCCATTGAAAAAGAAATATATAGATTTATCAATTTATTTTTTCGTGTCGTATTAAATTAAATCGTCGCTTATTGTATTGCCATTTTCTTTTCGTCTGATCTTTTATCAATTTTTATTAGAATGTTTAGTAATCGCAATAAGGTGACTGTATTTTTATTTTAAAATATATTATAAAAAATATTTGTAGTACTCACTCTAATTAGTATAGCCCCAAAGTAAGAACTGGGGCCTGTCTTACAGGGATGGGCGTTTTTAGAATAACGATGCGCAATAACGATGCCAGGTTCGGATGCGCGCATCCGATGCGACTGGATGCTGATGCCATCTAGTTTTTGTCAACGTTACTATAGCAACAGTGCCACAAACTTATCTGTGCCGGTGAAGATGTCGCTAGCAGTGAACAAACTAGTCATAAAAATGTCAAAATGCTATGGATAAATTGTAGTTCGGCACAGAAAAGTTTGTGGCACTGTGGCATCCAGTCGTATCGGATGCGCGCATCCAAACCTGGCAACCTGCCAGCATTCAATATTTTCAGAAAACATACCGAAAAGTAAATAAATGGTTTTCGATTACATTTTCAATTCCTAATTCAAGGAATCGAAGAGACATACCACAAAACACGCGTCTGTAATAATTCAAATTGCATCGTATCCTGTGATACTACGATATCGACATTCAGTAGACATCGATGCGATGCCGGCATTGATGGGGGCATTCGATGCGATTTATCTGATACCGATGCGCATCGATTTCAAAAATATCTAAAAACGCCCATCTCTACTGTCTTATTGGATACTAGGGTAACGCATAGAATACATATTATACTGATACATATATAAACAAAACATCCATAACTTCGTACAAATGCTCGTATTCATCATACTAGCATTTGCACCACCGGGTTCGGACCCGGGAGACCTTTCAGTAGGCGAAACCTTGAAACCCGGGCACAGAGGACGTCATTATAAAGTTTGTTAAGATTTTTGAGAACAACAAAATTAAACTTATACGAGTATTATAGATAGATAGATGAACTCTTTATTACTCACACATACACAATTAAAGGGCTTACAATAACATATACGAATGGAGGGGTTGGTGGGGGTAGGTTTACTCATCCAGGTAGGCACTAGTTGAGCACCTCATTAAGAGTATATATACCAAGTTTGAACCTAATCGGGTCATTGGACTGTACTACGCCGTCGCACGGATCCCTACGCAACCGCAAGCTCTCCGGACACAAACGTGACGTTTCTGCCTCCGTGAGACTGCCTGGCGCCACTCTGTGCCAGCGACGACTGCCCCGCTCCGAGCCGCAGGCCTTGAGCTCGGCCAGGATCGCGCAGGCGTAGCCCCCACCTCCGCATCATGAACGACTCCAGTCAACCGTTCGAAGCAGACGAAGCGTACAACATCACGCATTATGGAACCGCGATGGTGGCCCAACTCCTGGACTCTGGGCTTTTGTCTGAACGACTGGAGGACTGGATCTGGTGCTACGTCCGTCTACTCGAGATGGATGAGAGCATCACATGCAAGTACCGCATCGGCGACCGCCTCATCGTTAATGACAACAAGAAGGTCATACAGATGCCGCTCACCTTCCCGCCGCCCCGCAAAATAGACTTGAAGTCGATCGACAATACGAAACCTAACCCAGAGGAGATACAACCGCGCAGAAGACGCTCATGCGACCCGCGCTTCTGCCGGTCCCGCAGCTGCGGTGACTCCCCTGTCACAATGACGACGCCACTGCCCAAACCAAAGCCGAAGCACAAAGAACAGCAACAAGCCACCGTGACCGCCCCCGCTGCCCAAGAAAAACAACACGAAACTGCTTTACCGACACAGACACAGTTGGTAAGCTACGTCCAGACGGCAAAAAAAAGTTTCGTGTCTACCCCCGAAGCAACAAAAATCGAGAAACCAATCGCCGCTTCCCCCGCCGCCGTGCCGACCGCGCAACCGGCCTCCCGCAGCGCTCCCACGCTCCCACGGGCCCGTAAGCACCCGCCGATCGTGGTCGAGCAGCTGCGGGACTGGCCGAAGCACCTGCGCGCCATCCACACGAAGCTCGGCCGACCAGGCCTACCTCTCTGAACAGGCCAGACTGAGCTGGTACGCCCACGCCCGTCCTGAAGACCGCAGCCTAAAGGTAGCCATCCGTGAGCTGCCTGTGGACACCCATTCCGATGAAATCGCCGAGGCCCTTGCTGAAAAGGGCTTTGAAGTAGAGTACTCAAAGCAGATCCGGGCTCACTGTACTTCGCAGCGCTACGCCGAACACCAGACCTCATCCCGGCCATCTACTCAGTGAGTGACCTCTTGAGAATGTCCGGGATCAACATCGAAGCCTGGAGAGGGAGGAAGATCCCCGCGCAGTGCCACCGCTGCCAGGGGTTCCGCCACTCCAGCCTCGGCTGTCACCGCGCGCTTGCGCAACCCGCCACATGCGTGTTCTGCGCGGGCGCGCACCCCGCCAATCACAGCGCGTGCCCCGCGCTCCAACGCGAGGCGCGCAATCGACGCGCCACCACAGTGGCCCACACAGGCCACCCACCCACCGAGCCAATCCAGCAGCCCACCGAGGTGAGCGAGCATGCGCCGGCCACACTGATGGCCCCCGCGAACGCTCCTCCCTCGCCCACCAGCCGCCCCCGACGCCGCCGCGGAAAAACCCGTCAGGCCAGTCACACACCGCCGACGGACACGCCCCTATGGAAGACGCACTTCGGAAGATGCTTCGGAAGGTCCGAGAAAAGAAGAAACCAACCTACGACACCACCCCCGCCCGCTGAAGTCCGTCGCCCGCTCGCTGGTCACTCACTGGGCCTCCCTCATGAATCTCACCCGGTGGGCTTGACCGCGGCGAGGGCGACGTCTGAAGAAGCGGAGGCGAGGGTACAGTCCCAACGACTGTCTCGTTCGTAAACGAGACGCGCACCCGAGACGTCTGAAGTGGGCACAGCCCAGAACAGATTGCCCGCACGCCGCGGCGCCTTCGGCGCCGGCTACGCGCGAAATGAAGATACGAGAGATCGAGTCATTAACTTTTGAATTATCGAAATGCAAACAACTGAATCGGGTAGAAGTCAGCCAGTACGGAGAAAATTGAACACCGCGCCGTTATTAAGTTACTTATCAAGCAAGGAAAATCCGCTCAGATTATTTTTCAAGAGCTGTTGGTGGTTTACGCGGACTCTGCCCCTGGTAAAACCATGGTTTATAAGTGGCATGGTATTTTCAAACAAGGAAGAGAGTCCATTGAAGACGACTCCCGCTCCGGACGGCCAATTGAGGTCGAAAAAGTAGAAAAACTTGTATTGGAAGAAGCCCGGTTGAAGAAGAAGCAACTTGCATCAATGATTGGAGTATGCGAAACAAGTATTTTGAATATTCTACATCATCATCTTGGGATGACTAAGGTCAGTGCAAGATGGGTTCCGAGAATGCTTACGCCACTTCAAAAACGCGAGCGTGTCGAGTGTTCTCGCCAGTTTTTGGAGCTCTGTGGAGAGAGAAAGGAAGAAGTTATGGCCCGAATCGTTACTGGTGATGAAACCTGGGTTCACCACTATGAACCCGAGTCAAAGCAAGAGTCGATGCAGTGGCATAAAAAAGGCACACCTCCTCCAAAGAAGTTCAAAGTGACACAATCGGCTGGCAAGATCATGGCGACTGTCTTTTAGGATACAGAAGGTATTTTACTGATCGATTATAAAGAACGTGAACGTGTGCCTATAACGGGACAGTTCTACGCTTCTTTACTAGAAAGATTGAAAGAAGCCATCAAGGAAAAAAGAAGAGGAAAGCTGTCAAAAGGTGTGCTCCTTCTGCACGACAATGCACCCGTTCACACGTGCCATGTTGCGACGGCTGCCATTCACCGATGCGGCTTCGAACAATTGAACCACCCACCCTACAGTCCAGACTTGGCACCCAGTGACTTATTTATTTCCAAAAATGAAGAAAGAGCTGCGTGGAAAAAAAAATTGACGACGATGAAGAAGTGAAGTCTGCGATTTCGACCTATTTTGACACCAAAGACAAATCATTTTTTTTCGGTGGTATAAACAAGTTATTTGAGAGATCTGAAAAATGTATTAGGGTTAAGGGAGAATATATTGAAAAGGAAAAATAGTTTGGTGTTTAATTTCAACCTCCTTCCCTCTTATTCTGCGAACTTTTTGACCTCCCCTCGTAGTTATTATGTTTGTAACCACCCAAAATCTTATTAGGAAATTCCGAAGGTTTTTCTACGTATCTAACGCATGAAAAAATCGTTTTTAGTGCTCCAATTGACTTATTTCTAGCGTCATAAAGGCCATGTTTTACAAGCGAGTAAGCTCAGCAATGACGTCACGCAGTTAAGGCCTTTATCATTCCTACCAGGAAATATTACAATTATTTAATTGTTTTAACGTTGTATTTATTAAATAAAACGTCGGAGATAAAAGATGATCTGTTTTTATTTGGCTTACAAATTGGCGCTATACATTGATATGTCAAAAGTGATGTGACATGACATTAGTGATGTATCTACTTTACATCTCCCTTTCTTTATAAATAAACCAAAACAATTCTATTACAAATTAAGGGTTTTACAATATGACAGACAATTTATAATTTATATTATTTTAATATAATTTATATTATAATTTATAAAACAAGTTATTATTAGGTAATAGTAATTACATAATTATAAATTAAGATACATGACTGAGCACTACAGTACTTATTAATTATTATCATTATAAATTTAAATAATATTAAAGATCAAGTTAATTTATGTGTTTAATTATTCTACCAAATCTCGTGGTGCAGTGGCTGCTTGAGCCAAGTTTGACTTTAGCATATTATTGGAATTGCTTGGTGATGGATATGTTGATACTGGGGGTGTCTCAGGAACAGGCAGTGATTGAGCTTGTGCTGGAATCTGTTGTACAGCTGGGTCATCTGTGTATTTATTTACTACTATTCTGTTGCTGGTTATTTCTGCTTGTGTCTTGTGCAGATGTCTAAAGTTTCTTCTTAAGAATTGGCCTTTATCTGTTTGAATTATTACAGATCTTGGTAGATTTTTAGGCTTTTATATAACTCGGAAATTACCTCGGGTCTGCTGTAATTTCGTTATTTATAAAAAAATGTATAATAAAAATAAGTATTCATAAAATCAGTAGCTTTGATAAACAATTCTATAGATAACTGGTTGCAAACAAAGTCAATGCTAAAAACTGTCCGCGTGTGTGTAAACTTATGCAGCTACATTCGATTCCCAATGAACAAAGATAAATGTTTAAAACAATACCCTAAAAAACCTAAGAAACAAATATGTTTTAAAACAGTTTAAGTTGGACCCTAATAACAACTATCTCACAACGGAATAAGGTTACAAATAACAAAATGTTATTTCGCACATACGGCCTTTTATCTTATAAAACGAACTCTTGTTCTTTTTAATAATTATATCTGATACTTAGAAAAAAGTGATAAAGGTGAAAAAAGGAAAAAGCAAATCAACCTTATGACGCAAAAAAAAATACCAGCGAGTTACTTCGTTTTGTATTAATAACTAATTTAATAAAAATAAGACCTCACGCCTCAAGTGACGCAATATTTACCTCTCCTAGACTGATTTTAAGCACTGACCCGTTATCTATAGATTTGTAATTTATTAAATAACACACAATTGACAAAACTAACGTAAGCTTAAATTTTTATTGGAGATAATACGTATCTGTATACAAATTAATTATTTTAAGTACTTATACTAGATAATTTGTCTATGAGAGACCGAGTTCACATCACAAATCTACGTTACAGAAATAGAAATCTCTTTTTCGTCATATTCCTGTTGTAGTTTTAATGCGTCTAGTTAGAACTTTTCTCAATTTTGGTAACAATAGCATGGATAAAATAGGACGAATAGCAGCTGCAATCATATATGCACCAGTAAATAATAAACTGGCAAACGTTACAGTATCACTTAGTTGCTCCATTTCAAAAGATGACATTTGATTTTCACCAAATGATCTAGAATACAAACGATAAACTGTAGCAACTGAACGTGGCATACAGAATACGCAATATACAATAATAAAACACAGAGACAGCTTTAATGCAGTCACGGAGTCGGTTTTCTCATTTGAGGACATTTTTCTATTTGATTTAAGTTTCAAAATGACTAGCACTATAGTTATACACATAATAGTTCCTGGTAATATAAGGTTAAAAGTAGCCAACCATGAGCTTGTATTGAGTTTGTGGTGTGAATCTATAGAAGTGCATAGTGTGACTTCTTCATTTATGTTAATAGTAGTGGCCAAAACAAATTCTGGTATGCTCAAGGACGCCGACAGTATCCATATGAATACGGCAGGTGGTGTTACTCTTACTGTAGTATCAACTAGGAGGTAGTCCAGGTTCATGGTGCGAGGCGGAGTTGAAGAATCGCTACTGGCCACAAGACTGTGATGTGATGATCTTAATTCTTCCTCTTCGTCTTCCGTACTCCTTTTGATTTTACTGTTCATCGTTTTTTCTTCGAGGTTAACAGTTGCAATTGTGTGTAGCGCTACCGTGGCTATCAAATAAGATGACGCTGTAGAGGCAAACACACTTAATCCTCGGAACGCAGTGCAGCATTTTCTCCCTAAGTTCCATGTTCGAGTATTGTAAAACCATAATTCTGGACCCGATAATATCACCAGAATCAGTATGTCTGCGACAGCTAATTGGATGACAATTGAAGACAAACCTAAAACAACATCATAATTAGTTATGTTTTTAATTTTTAAGCATTTAATTGCTAGATGTTAAATCTAAAGAAAAGTTTATAAGAAAAGCTCCACGCGGACCAGGCAGCCGACGGGACTCGAACCCGCATCCTTCGCTATCCGGGCGAATGCACTGACCATTATGCTACCGCGGCATTAGAGAAAAATTCGCCAGGACCGCGGTAGCATAATGGTCAGTGCATTCACCCGGATAGCGAAGGGTGCGGGTTCGAGTCCCGTCTGCTGCCTGGTCCGCGTGGTATTTTTTTCTAGTAAACAACTTTTCTTTAGATTTAAATATTATAATTCTAAGAAAACACCTGGTTAATATTTTTAAACTTTGTCTATATGTTATTTGATTTTGGTTGAGATGCTTACCATTTTTGGAAGATTTGAGTAGTGCTGCTATGACCGAAAAGTTAGTTAGGATGCCGGTGCCGGCGACACATGCAATCCATATTGCGACAGCGAGCGGCGGGAGCAGAGGGTCGGGCGCATTCTCGAGCGCGGGCTGTGGCATAGCGCGGCCGCCGGGACGCGGTGGGAGCAATGACTGGCGGCCGCGTCCGTCACCCCCGCCTGCCGTCCCTCCGAAACTTTTTTTTTTCTTTGTTAATGAATCATAGTGTCGAGAACACATGCCTATAGGTTTAAAGGCGATCGCAAGTGAATGTTCAGTAGGTCTTAAGTAAAAGTTGAAGTGTTTTACATTTGAAACCGTCGCGAAACTTGACTTCTGTTATAAACTAGGTGCCTAGACTATATAAGTTATAGATAGACAATAGGGCTTTTTGTAGACATGAGATATCGTTTTTTAAGTAGTGTACGTAATTCCAAGATCTTGTTGCTAATAATACTAAGATAGGTATAGATAAATAATCAAAACATGAGCAGTAGCCACTGAATATCCGATACAAGCGATGACGAGGAACAAAATATAAAGGGCTGCCTAGCTGTTAATGCTCATTATTATTCCACACCCGTTAACGAATGACTACCGGTGGTGTCGCCAATGCAAATAAACTAAATAACTATACCTATGCCAATGTGCGAAGTTTAAATACTTACTACTTCTGTCTGCGAGCCGCAAGCACAAATAAGCTGCTTTAACCATTCTAACTGATGCAACTTCGTTTTAAAATAATAAGAAATTGTCACATACAAAAAGTTGTTTATCCCCGTCTCCGGGTATGGGCTATAATCGGATTACGGAAAGGTTTTGAGGTGAAAGGAACTTTAATGAATTCTAAGATAATGGGCTTAAATCAAAGTTTTGCTAATGATATCTACCTATTTGGAAAAAAAACTCGCTATTTAATTTAAAACATCACAAAATAAGTTCAACTTTTTATGAAATAATTGCTAGAGGAATTGGAAATAAGCAGTCTGTTCGGGGAAGGTAATAGTGAAGTTAGGTACAAAAACATCCAAACCAATGAAAAAAAGTACAAAAGTAAAGCCTGCCTTGAGTTTGTTTCGCCGGTTCTTCTCAGAAAGGTCTCCCAATTTTGGAACCGGTGGTAGTTTACGGTAGTTAGGGTCAAATAAATAAACGCAAAATTACAAAATAAAATTTTAAATAAAATACTTTAAACTAAATTAAGTAATAAATTCATACATAGACAATAAAACTTTAAAAATCGAACAATGAAATAACCGAACGCTCAATTAAAGTCTTTCGAAGGTAGCTCGACAAAATTAAATAAAAATTTGATTCCGACGACGTAGCCTGTAAAGGCTACGAAACGTCAATAAATAAATAAAGTTTCGTGCATTAACCCGTAAAAACTAGTTTTATTTAATGAGTGATGTGCGTGAAAACCTAAGAAACAAATATAAGAAAAGTACATTATATAAATAATACTCGGTTAAGTTAAGGATAATATCAAGTCTAACATTAAGAAAACTTTTACTAGAAATAATCCACTCGGTCCAGGGATCAGCAAGGATTCGAACCCTTTTTTTTTATAACGCAGGTAAAAAATCTTTTTACAGACGACGGCGCCTTTAAGAGGCACACCGCCGAACGGACCTCACACCTGGCTCCCGCAAGTCTTACGGACCCCCCAGTGGCTACCCACCGAGGACCCCGCAACTCTTACGGGCGCTTTACAGCATAATATCCGCTAAAAAAGTCCTGCGAAACCTTCTACACTGCTTAGTGCGAAGCCGCGGCGATATTACGGAGACCGCGCAGACGTGCGCAGGTTAGCCCGCGCGTGGGGGCTGGGTATGCGGCCTAATGCCCACCGTACCGCCCCCATCCTCTGCGGAGAGGACTCCTGGGCGTATCCGTCCAAGAGCTCTCCACCGCCCCCCCTTTGTAGGACAGAACTACGAGTGGGGGGGAGCGCCGTTCCTGGGAGGGGGTACGGGAGGGGAAGCGTAATTCTTCCGGCCCTCTCCTCCCTCCCGGTTGCCCACGTCTCCTCGCCTCTTCTCCTAGGAGAAGAGGGGGGAAAGGCGGGCGACAGCATTCGTAGGGGGGTCCGAGCGCCCTAGGCTACTCGGACATCCCCCCTCTGAGGGTGCCCGTGCAGGCGCCGACACAGAGGCCACTCTCTCGGGGGGTTTGCCCTTGGTGACCGACGGGTCACACCTCCCCTTGCCCATTACGTGGTCGGCTGGTAAACCACTCTCCTTGCATATGGCGCAGCAGGGCTCGGCAGCGCATTCCGCCGCCTTGTGTCCCTGCTGCCCACATCGGAAGCATGCCTGGCTTCTGTCGTGCTCAGATAGGAACTGTCGGCAGGTGTGCCCCCTGGCCATGCATCTGAAGCAGCGCATAGGAAGGGGGCTCAGCAGTCGCACCTGTGCGGCGCACCAGCCCACCCAGAGCACGCCGCCAACCACCACTTTCTTTGCGATGCTAATTGGGCACCGCACCACCGTGAGCCCCATACCCCCATGGCCAGGACGCAAAGAATGAGTAAATTTGAATAGGGTTCTTTTCATTTCATTTAATATTTCACTAAGGCGTGTTCAGGCACCCATGCAATAAATGATCTCCCTAAAGCTCCTCAGTCATACAAAAGCCAACAGAGCTAGCGCACGATCACGCACGATTTTTAAAAAAAATATCACCTGACTTTTTTTTGACCACGGAAAAAAGACGATATTTGGTTATGGGTTGGTATGTATTTTCATAAATTAACATACCATTACATTATGTAGGTAATGCATATTTTTTTGCTTTGATTCTGTAAATTTAACTGGGAATATCGTTTTTAGAGTATATCTTTCTATTGTTAGTTATTTATTTTAAACAAGAATCTGTAAACCAAACACGGGCTAACTATAGAAAAGTTAAGTTATCATTGTAGCTAACGATGAAATTTTCCCGTGCACCGTGATTTACTGCATGAGCTGTTTCAGTGCCGATGAGCTGCTCGTTATTGGTTTGATCTTCCGATATGTCTACAAGCAATATGAAAAAGGAGTAAAAAATTTAATGGTAAAAAAGGATTATTATTATATTCAACTTTTTCGTATGTGCTGATAAAGATTTTTTTTTTTTGTTGAATAGATTTCTTAGCATCGTTTGTAATAATTATCATTAATACATTAATTTTATATTACATAATATATTACATACAGAAGTACAGTTAGTAGCATTGTATACTTACTTACCTACATTCAATTGTATTTTTTTTAACATAGATAGGTACATACCTATCCATCTAAAAAAACGATTGAATGTAGGTAGGTAAGTGAGTATACAATGTTACTAAGATAAAAGTTAAGTAAGTAGGTAAGATCATTAATCTTCAAAATAATATTTCGAAATCTACTTTATAGAATGAATGTCACTCATTTCAATATGCTACATTGTAAATCAAACGTTATTTAAAACATCCTTTGTGAGGCAAATTATGAGTCAAATGCAATTCTCAGTTTACCTTTCATCCACAAAGAATTTTGAATACAACTCGCTAATTGGAAAGTCCACTTTGAATGCAAATACAATCAAGTTGGAATGGGTTCCTTCTTCTCAGAGTAAGTGTTGCTTACATGGAATCTTTTAAATTGATGTCATAAAATAAGTGTTTTAAAAACTAGTAAATACATTCGTGTTCGAGGCCCAAACACGAATTTTTGTCAGTTCCGGAATTCATATTTTGTATGGGTAAAGTAGTTTGTTATTACGTCCGATAGGCTCCTTAGTTTCCATAGAAATTTTGACGGTGCGATACGATTGCGAAGCTGTCAAAACTCGTGCTTGGGCTTCTGCACACTCCTTTCCGTGATTTTTTTGATGTGTTATTTTGATCAACATGCTGCTTATATTATATGCGAAATTTGTTGTTCCTTTGTTAATTAATAATGTTGAAGCGACTGTATATATGGATTCAAATAAAACTTGTATAGTAAGTGATTTCTAACTTGGACTATGACAGAGGTTACCTTTTTCTTGTAATATTCTTAATTGAGGTTTTTTTTATAATTATATAGTCAACCTAATGAGCATGTAAATAGTGATTTTATTATATTTTATATACATATTTGGAATCGGGCAGGTAACAGGGACAGTTGAATTGTTTATATTTAATAATAGATAGCCTTTTAAGATAAAAGTACACCTGTCTACATTGTCCTTTTAAATTACTTAATGACTTGGTATCTGTAAATTTAATGAAATACTCTGAACAATCAGGGAAATTGCCATCATTGTGTTATTTATTCTACATGGGTCTTATTAGAATTTTGTTACACCTAGGAATGAATTTTTATTCGACTTTTGCTTTAATTCGCCATTTGTTAAATAGTTGCTTGAACTGCAATTCGAAGGTTTGATCAAATCAAAGTCTTCCTACTACGGTGAGGGTTGTGGATCCTATACTGACAATAGACCTAATACTTAACTCAAATTTAACATTACTATTTGGTTACTCGACAAAACTCGTAATCTTACAAATAACCACTTATAAATCCCATCGAGAAATTTCGGTAAAATCTCGTGTACTTAGGTATGGTATTCCTAGACATTTTTTTATACAAGTATTAAATACTTTTCTTCAAATAAAAATATCATACAGATCCGAGTTACCCATTGTAAGTTATTTAATTCGAATTTGAACATTGGTCTGGTTCTATTCGCCGATGTCATACCGCAAACATTTTTTGTTTGAGTAAAAGACACGAGTCCATACAAGTTGTGTGCTCACGACTGTCCTCATATATCGATGACTTAAGTAACTAAACTGTGTTACTGAACATGCGGGCTATGCAAGTACCTAACACTGATATTTTTTGTGTCATTGACATTCTGCTTAAGTTAAAAAAGACGACTTCAGATAACTGTTGCTTTTTTTATTATATGCTGTAAATTATGGTGGTTCTGTACCTATATGGATGAGTATATCTTTATATTTTTCTTTAAAAAAATATTTGTTATATCAGGAGTAAGTAATCTGTGGTAAGGGTGTTAGCTAAAGTACCTACCTATAAGATGTGTTTTTTTAAACGATGTTTATGAAGTGTTATACGAGCACGTGGTGAATGAGCTCATTCCACATAGATAATGTCTATCTTATTTACTGGTTTTAATTAACGTTCGATTCTGGCGATGGATGATGGATGACTCGCGACAATGCTCCTCGGGACGTGTGGGCGTCAGTTTGACAGTCAAAATTTGCACTTTCCTTCGACTTTCTCTCGGAGGTGCGAAAGGTGTACATTCGGGGCTCGCTATGCTTTATTCGGTAGCTGGCGCCGCATAAGTGTACGCGCTCTAATCGCATCGGCGACGGCGGTCAAAGGCGGTCCGTTCTGTGGAGGTGCAACGCGTGCGTTTCCGATATTCAAAGCACCTGCATGCCACTTCCGAGTTAGTGTTTATAAGTTAGTGCGGAGCGTTCGGGGTCGTAGAGTTCGTTCGTGGTGTTTGGTATCGTGCAATGCTATAGAGATGTCGCGGGCCGAGACTGTGGCTGTGGCCTTGCTGCTCGCGCTGCGGGCGGGCGCGCCTGCGCGTTTTCCCGTGAGTACACTGCGCTGGGTGGGCGCGCCGCCCTACTAGCGCTTAATCAAAACCTCTTTACACATTACCTTTATAAATTTTATTTTCTTATTTGCTAGGTTGACAGAGTATATGACACGTTCGCCAGTGTTTAAAATGGGGGAAAAATACATTAGAATTAATCAATGGATAGGAGGAGCTCGAATGGCGATAGGGTTTGCTCTGCGATCGTGAAATTAGTGAAACTTTTGCACGGACTGGTCATAGGATGGATGACCAAAACTGTATTATCTAAGAAGTGAGCACCCATCATACCGCAATGGGCCTGCGCTTATCGTCACGGTCCGATTGATAGGCTGATCATGATGATGATGATGATGGAGCGCAAACTGTTTTGATTCCTACGAATTATTTAAAATATGGAGTAAATAACTTAAAATATGCATAAGTATTTCTCTAGAAAATCTTACTATCATGGAACGAATATATTAAGTGTTTCAAATATATTCGTTTAAAGTTCATGTTTGGAATTTACTTTAGATGTTATTGCTAAACAGATTTGACAGTAAGTTTTCTTCCTTTTTGGTATTTATATAATTCCCTCAATAAAATTTTTAAAAATTAGTTTTATATTATTCGCGCAATTTGTTGAAATCAGGAATAACTAAAGTATCTGAAAATACAAAACTTTATATTAGATTTTCTAAAGAGAAAAGTTAAAGTTTTCCTCAAAAGAATCTTTGTAGTAGATCTACACGACCTGAAAGGGCATTGAAAATGAATCTACCATTTATATATTATTAAAAAAAAACAATATTTCCATAATATATGTTAAAAATATCCACTGTTCATTGCTTACTTTTCTGTTATACAATAATTCTCATAAGTAATGAAACGGCCAAGCTACATATTTTGACTAAAGTGTAGAATTTTGAAGTAAGATTTAGAAGCAAACTTGACTTTACATGAGATCTGATAACTTTTTGATAAAGCTAGTCATATGGTCTCATCTTGGAAACATTTGACATGAAAATGTTTGGTGGAATTTCATTTATTTTTGTATGTTGCTTCTGACATAATTTTTAGTTTTTTTTCTTTTTACCTATTTTATTATTTATACAAGGAGCCTATCATATAGCAGGTGTAAATATACAGCCATCTAACGTCAAAATTGCTGAAGTCTCATACAAACTTCCATCCAATAGTTTAAGGGGTTGAGGGAAAAAAGTTACGTTTTATATATTTTTTATTAATAGACATAGATACTAAAAAGCTTTTCAGGACATTAGGTAATACCCTAAGAATTTTGAAAATCACTTTAAATTAAAATAATTAAATCTAATGAGTCAATGAAGAAATCAGGGTTTTTAGACATTAATAAAATCTAAAGTATAAGAGCTATGCAATTAAAACTTTGTATGTTTAATAATAAGGGCTGTTGAGAACACACGCCGAGAATATTTGATTACCTGGTATAATCTAAACCCATGTTATATGGATTCAAAAAATGACAGAGCAATTTGAAAAAAGGTAGGTAGTGCCCTTGCGCCTCGCTTGGCTCGTCTTGGCGGGGGGACACTATTGTGTCCGCAGATTTTGATGTACTTTGTTTTGCTATATATTTTTTTATTATTTCAATAAAGACAAAAAGTGGGCCTTACAAGGCGCACCTATATGTATAATATGGTTCTGTTCCTAATGTAGAATGGTATTTGTTGGTAAAATAATTATTATTATAAAATAAATATAATAGGTAATAATGAATATTATCACCAAATTTCCAAATCCTAAGTCACCGAGAAGTTAATAAATTAATAGAGAACAATCGATGTCGCTGAATTTGGTAAAAATAACAACAATAACAGTATTTTTCTAAGTACTTGATGATTTCTATATAACGATGCTCCAATCAATAATAAAAGTGAGGTAGGTTCGTAATTCGTAGAAGTTAAACTCTAGAAATGCGTCAGGAAATACACAACATTAAAAACTCTAACCTTAATTCTAAATAAAAAACTGATATTTATACAGGTAATTCAAGGCCAATACAATCAAACACGAGTGTCCTAAAACAAACAATATTAACATTGACTCATTAGGTAGGTACATGTGAGTAGAGATGTGACTATGAGAGTGTTATTTATCTACACTAAGGACAGTTATGTGGTGGTGGAACTAAACTGAAACTTGAATTAGAGGAAATAGGGGTCAAAGTGTAAGTTTGAAACTAATTATTTTGCGCTACCGACGCAAAATCAGCATCTTATTATACGACTGCCAAAAATAAGTTTAATGTTTTCTAAGTGCGTTTCTTTATTCCTTCATTATAAAGTTAAGGTGGAATAAAGAAATGCACATATAAGTACATGAATTCTGAAAATTTTACACTGCTTTTTGGCAGTCAATTAAAAAAACATTGCACTTATTCAGCTTTTGGAAGTGCAGTCGTGTTATTTGATTTTCTATTGTTTAAGCTATTTCTATGATGATATCTATACCATGTACTAAATATTAATATAATTAACTCTAAAAGTGTGTTATTTCTTGAAAATTTCTCATAGTACATACCAAGATCTATCATATGACATCAAATCGATAATTAAGTGAGTTTCTCTTTTATAAAGTTGCAGATGGCTGTAGAAAAAGTTATCTACCACAGAAACGATATATTCAAAAAGTAAAACAATAAAAGCCAAAAACATAATCGACAACGTATTACTTTTTAGTAATTTAAACTTCGATATGTCTATCTATATATCCTTTGGGTTCGTCTTGCAAGATAGGCCTCCTCTTCAACCTTCCACCGACTTCTGTCTCCGGCGACTTGCATCCAGTTAAATTAACAAATACTGTAATTGTCGTGTGTATCGCTCAGCGTGACATTTATTTATTTATCTTTAACAAAGTTTCTACAGCGGTTTTTTGTGAAATTTAATACAATAAAATATAGATATAATCTTAAGGCCAATAAAATTACAGAAACTCATTATGTACACATTAGATATTAACGGCGTTATTATATGTCAGTAATTATTACATTTAATTGAATTTAATTTTAAAAATTGTATGAAAATCATATAATTCACTAACATAAATAATAAAATAAAATTAAGATTGAATTGAAAAGAAGAAAAACATACACTGAACATCCATATAAAAGGGTTTTCAAGAATTTGTCACATGATAACTTTATGAAGTGTGGGTGGGTGTGTGTGCGCGTATGTATGTGTATTTGTGTGTGTGTGTGTGTGTCCATGCAGCTGCAATGCTATCTATACCTGGTAACGAGATGGCGGACGCCGCAACCCCGGCACTACATCATTCACGTACTTCAGTAGGAGTGCTTGTAATTGCAGGCCTACATGACGCTAAGAATAAAACAAATAAATTAAATTGAAATTGAAACAAAACAAATGTCAGGGAAAATAATTTAAGCCGTATTTGGAAATGCAGTGCAGTTATTTTTCATATTATTGAGAATACGAATTGATAATTATAAATAAAAATTCAAATAAATTGTATGAATTAATAATAATAAAATAAATAATTTGAAATTATAAAATTTCAAATAATGTCGTTTTAAAAGCAGCTCTGGACAAAGAGAACAGGTCGATATCAGAGAAGTACTTGTTGTACGTTTTTGGCAACCTTACCGTCATATCATTAGCCTCGTAATTTGTACGCACAGATGGTACATGAAAAAGTTGCGGGTGGCGTGTTCTTGAACATTAAGTGACGGAAAACGACTTAAAGTCAAGCAGTTGGCTCATATTTTTTTCAACGTCATCTGGGCTGCCACGCTCTATCTAGGAGTAAATAATCAAAGTATTAAAATTAAAAAAAATATGATAGATTTAAAGAAAATCGCAAAAAAACTACGCAAATACAAAAACAAGAATTAAAACGCATATATCACGTTACATTCCGCGTCTATGTATAAAAAGTTTGTTATGTCAGATGCAATTGCAATTATAGGTTTAGGCACCTACATTCCAATAACTTTCACTGGTTTCTGGTACGTCCGTATCTGGGTGTATAATTTCTTTGCAATTATATTACATAATCAAATAAAGTTTAAGTCTCTCGCGTACTAGATCACGTACTATGTTGCACAACCGCAAGTGTCACGTAGTTTTTCAATCGCTACTTGATGATTCACAGAATCAAAACAGCATCTAAGTATAATGTATAAATGCGATTGTTACTTTTTTGTTAGACATACTTAACAAAGAAGGGAATATAGTGAGTAGGTAGAATAACATCCAATATAAGTTACATAATCATCATTGAAATATATAAAGGAAAGAATAAAAAATGAATAAAATCTGGATAAGAATGGAAAAAAGGATTCATTAGTAGTTATAAAAAATATGGTTACAAGATACGGTACAAAGGAGATTGGTCAAATTGGCCTAAATGCAAATAAAATATTGACATATACAGTAATTCTTGGCGTAATTTCTACTTTATTTTACAGTCATTAGATTTTAACGGCCACCTTTAAATAATATATTCATTTTAAAAAAGGTCTTCTATTTTTACCGGTTTGGAAAACATACGAATCATTTTTATTGGCTATGGGTGTAGTAACATTCACAAAGACTGATCGAGGTTGTCTAAATAACATCAAAACAAATCTATTTTGTAAAGATTGATAAAATATTTCGATGATATTTTAATTCAAAATGTAGATGATATGTAATATTAAACGCAACATAAAAGTACTTCATCATCATCATCAACAGCCTATCCTAGTCCACTGCTGGACATAGGCCTCTCCAATTGCACGCCACTCAGATCGATTTTGGGCTACTCGCATCCAGCTCCTGCCAGCCACCTTGCGCAAATCGTCACTCCACCGTGCCTGAGGACGTCCTACACTACGTTTGCCTAGACGCGGTCTCCACTCCAGAACTCGTCTACCCCAACGGTTATCGGTTCTTCGGCAAATATGGCCAGCCCACTGCCACTTCAGCTTACTAATCCGGTGGGCTATGTCGATAACTCTGGTTCTCTGTCGG